ACCTCTGCGCTACTCTACACGAAGAGGGCTGAGATTTTCAATAAACGGCATCGGTTCCCTGATTGCAGCGTTTCAAGAAGCTATACGTATCGTCGTTAACTGTGACAGACAGACGACATTCTGACACTTTATGTGTTGCATAGTTTTACGATTCAATTCCTAGTGTTAGTGCATTTTGCCTATATTGATAAGGAAAAATGGCGTTTAGTTTTTATGATGCGATGCAAGCAGGCTTGGAAAGAGGTTTCCACAAGTCTCATAGACTTCTGGAATGTTTTCTATACTTACCCCATTTTATTTGCAATATTAATTTATCGCATATTAAGTTTTAACTCAAATTTTCTCCTAAACATTTTGAAATTTTTCACTTGCTATAGTAACAAGAACAGCAATTGTATAACAGATACATGTCATTAGAGAATTTTGTTTTGACAAAATTAAATAAAAAAAACATTTCCGTACTATCCTTTTGATGAATGAAAATAGTAATTAAAAACAAACCTACGTTTTTACCGCTTTTACTGAAACAAATTATATGCTTATGCAATATTGTGACTGTAATTGTTTAAATAGCATTGCGACATTTTTCACAAGCGGACTGATCTTATTAATAGGTACTTTATGAATATTCGGGGTTAATGAGGCCCAAACTTAAAATCCTTTTAGTCATATTCCACAGACGCGGCTAACAACTCGTGAAAGGGTAAGATTAATTACTGGCATTTTTGTTTTCAGCTGAGGGGAATTTTAAATATGATTCTATAATTACATTTTATATCAAAAAAGTCTATTATGTCTATATTTTTTCAATACACTTTAATTAACTTTGATTTATGTTTCGAACGACAATACATGCTTGTATAATATATAATATAACGTAAATTTTAATTCATTTGTGGTGATGAGAGTACCAACTCAACATCTGTCGACCTTCATGAAGGATGAGTTTTGGCAGAATGGTGTCATGTAACGACGTTTCCGAGGCCAGCTATCGGACACCTACGGTCCGCCATACGTCGCAGACAATACGTGTAAATAATAATTACTCATAAGTGTTTTATTGTATTAATAGGTATGTTAGTTTTTAAAGCATGTATTTGTGGGTCTTTGTAACCTGAATAAAAAAAATTCAATAAAAAAATCAGTCAACCGTGCCCATGGGACCTGTAAAGGGCCAGAAACGTTGGTTTGTTTGAAAAAACAAATACACCCGATTTAAATCCGGAAAAATAGTTTCATTTCCTAAAAAAAAAAAAATAATAAAAGTTCCCTCTTTGAAACGTGATATAAAAAAAAATAATTTAAAAATGTATTCTAATTTGAGGCATTCTCGTTTACAAATAATATTTCTGCTCTTTCTCTATTCTCATACTACATTAGATAACGGAAATAATAGATTTCATAGATTCTTTTTTATGATACCAAGTGAAGGTGAAGGGACGAACAAGTCGTGTGGCTAGTGGTAAACGACACGCCTGTTCATAGCCATTGCAAATCCACTCAGAGCATTAGATCGCAAAGATCTGAGGGACACTGTCTCCCTGAGACAAGTTAACAAGTCCTATTTGCTTGTAGATTCATCAGCACCTTTAGCCTTCAAAATTGGAATACAGTAATATTCACATTACTGCTTGGCGGCAGAAATAGGTAAGGTGGCAGTACTTCTCTGGACGAACCCTTTCACAAGGCGCTCTTCTCTATTATGTGTATGATGTATAGCAGTATATATTTTAAGACTTTCGCGGTTATTCACTAAGTGATTATTAGAGGTTTCTTCAGTAATATTCAGGTAAGTTTTTTGTACTCAATTTTGGTAACGATTTTTATTATTTAATTATTCGAATATCATCGTGAAATATTAAAGAATATTTTAGGTTACTACACTCGAATATTAAATAATACTTCATGATGATATTCTATAAATATTTAAATAAAGAGAAATTGTCACCAAAATTGAGTACAAAAACCTTATCTGAAAATTACCCATATGTGACTTCAGATTGAGTTGACGGTAGTTTTCGACAGCAAAAGAGGGTAGATATGACGTCTGCTTTTAAGTTACTATCTGCCAGTGGCTAGTCGACTAGTGACCTCGGAGTCTAACACCCTTCCGAAATACTGGGAAAACGGTAAGAAATCATACCGTGGTAATACATCTACAACTAGTGATAATAATTTATGTAAATCAACCCTATTGTTTCTGGAATCTTATGTGGAGTAAGAAAGTTGGTGACTACGTAAATGCACTGAGATTTGGCGGTAGATTTCAAAATACTTTTATTTCAGACCATCTTTAAAATAGGTAGCTTTTAGGAAGCCATTATTTTCAACAAATACACCATTTCCGTGTGCAGGATTCTCTCCACAAAAAGGAAATACGAGAAAGATATAATTTTCGAATCTATTACGGATTCTATCCAACGCTAATAAACTTCCGATTTGAGATTTATATAAAAATTCAAAGGAAAGGAGCTCTGAATGACAATTTTCATAGGATACATTAAAATCTGTTTCCATCGCTTCGCTTTTCGTCTCCGCTTCAAGTTATAAACCAATGGCGATAAAAATTATCTCTGTAAGAAATAAATTTATCATAGACTTTCAGGTCATCAACATTATCAGAAGAAATAATTATCCAAGAGCTATCACTGGATATACAATTAAGAGAATAATTGTATAAATAACGAGATATCAAAAATATACGTCCGGTCGGTAGAACAGCTTCAAAAAAAGCTTCCATAGCTACCAAGAGCATTCGCTACTCGTCAATAGATGTCGTGAAATAACATATGTTACAATTGCCTTCCTGTTACAATTGACCCACATCTCTCCTTAACTACATATAAATGAAAAATATTGTAGCTAAAGCACTATCTTCAATCGAATTAAACGCCGATGTAAATAAAAAATGGATATCTTGTATTGCATACAAGAATGAAGTATTTTCCTGATCCACTTGTTACGTCCACGTAGACATTCTCTGCATAATTTACATGTACATTATTTCTTCGTTTAAACCACTCTCCGTGTCCATTGGGACGGCAATAACAAGTCCATAAACCGTTTTTACTGCCTTTGTTCAAGTAAATATATGTAGGTTTTGACTTTTTAAACAATGACTGTATTTTCGTAAGGAAAGACGGATAATTTTTAAAAAGAAATTTGAATGGATCAGAAAAATATCCAAGAATAAAGTGGAAAGAGAAAAGTAATGGCGAAGTAAATAGATCTATAGTGTTTAGTTTAGATTAACATTTGAATAGTAAAAATGGTTTAAATAGAATAAAAGGAACTAATAGAACCTTCAGGCAGTATTAGTACAATGTGGTTAAAATAAAATAATAGAGTGTAACAAATATGGACGTTCGTATTTCATCCGATGATCAAACTCATAGTCAAAGTCAGTGACAAATAATATTTAGTTCGTAGGTAAGCAAATTTCACTTGAAATCGTCATATTGATTCAACTCTACAGCTCATTCTTATGACAGATTACGGAGAAGAATACGCAAGAAAGTGTAAGGATTATTCTTTTGTACACATACATATTTATCATTTACAATATTTTATTTCAAACATAGATCGAGACAATCTGCAAGAGCTAAACGGAAACGGAAACTTACGGATTTTTGTCATTCAAGTACGCAGAAGCTGTATAATAAATGTGTTGTAGAAAGTTTTTGTGTCACTATATTTTTTATTTTTTATTATACCAAGTGACAAGACGACCAAGACGTGCGCCTGGTGGTAAGCGACACGCCTGTCCATAGCAGCCAGTTTATTTTATTCTTAGTATTAACGTTTCTCTGTCAATATTAAAAAAAAAATTGGAGAGTCTCACACGTATCGTGCAACTATTACAAAAAGTATCCAGCACAATGTTGTGGTTAAGCTTAGTTAAAAATTGATATGCCCCCAGCTTGTATCTTCAGCGAACTACCGTGTACAGACTATAAAATATAATCATTATAATCAGGCGGACCAACAAGCTTAGAGCCGTGAACATTCGTGCAATATGTAGTTGCAATGGTAGCATAATTCACTCGCATATAGGTCATATCATTTTGCCGGTCGTTCCACTGCCTGGAAGTTGGACTGTCAGCATATAGGTCAAGCACACGTCACACATCATTTCTTTAGGGCTATTATTCCATTGCTGAATTGATTACTGCCTACGCTTATGATATTATACCTATTTTTGTGTTTAAATTGATAGAGCTTGGAATAAAATAGATAGGAAAATATACAGGAACAACGACACGCTGTTCACACTAAGTCTTAAATTAGTTTATATGCCATCACGATATAATGGCCTATTTGTTGGCTTTACCCCGTATCGATCTATTACTGAGATATGCTATGATGTCCTATCAAGGACTGTGCTAAAACTACGCGATGTTAATCACATGGCTAAAAATAAATTTTAAATTTTTTTAAGCTGGTAATTTCGCAATTGTATTTAATAAGTATGTGAAGTGATTCAGACCCAGATAATTTCAGAGTGATTCAGACCCAGAGATTTCCATGATCACATAAATTACCAGTGCGAAAAATAATAAAAATATCGCATTCAAAGTTAGTGTTATATATTAGAATTACAGGGTATCTAGAAAAATACGTTTTTCATACAAAACTTAAGACATTCTGGCTTGGATCTGAAGCATGTAAGTAATTAATTATACTTAGTACAGTTTATTGTGCGTTTAGCGCTTTTCCCATTGTAGTTGTCTGAGTCTTAGGAGGATAAAGTATGTGTGATCAATTGTACCACTTGGTACCTATGTGTACACTTTTTGGTCATTGTTATAAATTTTAAGCGTTTTTTTAATTTAAATGTACTTTATCTTTAAAATTTTGTATGTTTGACTTATTATATGCCTTTATCTACTCACACTTTTCTATGAAAACATTTGTCTTGTAATTTCTACATGTTCATAATACACATTCGTATGTTAATAGCAGTTTTATTGTGAATTTAGATGCAACTTCAATTCAGTCCCCAGATCTAGCCCAGAGTGCAAGTCTACAAAATGTCTCGGTTAATAATAATTTTAGTTTTTGTTACAATTATACAGGGTCAACGTCGTGATATAGATACAACAAATTGCGAAGATTTTAGAGCAAATTTTAATTTGAAGAAAATTATAGGCTCTTGGTATGTAGTGGCAATAATTCCGGAAAAACATTTTCCTGTTAATCAAGAACAGGTTACTTGCTATAGAGTGGAATTCAGCGAAACTGATGTGGTAAGATTTTAATCATTATTTAAATTTCTTATGATAAGATGGCTGTGCGTCATCAACAATATCGTGCAAAATTTATTTTATTAAGTGTTTTCTTGAGATATTGTTTTTCTAACGTGACTGGCATGTTCAGTAACGATCGATTAAAAAATAAATAAATAAAGAAAAAAAAACTAACTGCGTACGCTGATGTTTGTTCAGCTCAGTTTTAAAACCCTTTCTCTGCGATAAACTTAAGAAATTCTCGTTAATTATTACATATTATTTCTTTTTTTTTTGTTAAAATTTAGACTGTTATAAGTTGCTTTGCAAAAGGCGATGTCCCGAAATAAATTTATTAAAAAATGTTGGGTGTGTATACAGGCTGGCCTTCGGTGGTTAATAAACAAAACTTTCGAGTCACCTTCGCGTAAGGAACTAATAAATCGTATTCAAGGCACAATCGTTCGGCAAAGATATCATACTGTGCCTCCTTTTGACGTCTGGTCGAGATCCGTAGAAGAAGTCAATGGATGCTTTCAACAAGTTCTATCTTTGGACACGGATAAGAGTGATATTAGTAAGTAATACTTGTTGATTAAGGGGTTGAGATAGTATGCCAATTTTCCATGCGCCTTTATTGTGTTGGCACTAAAAAATTAGGTAAAATTAAAATTTGAAGAATAAATGAGACATTATAATGGATAAAATTTCGCTGAAATTTTGCAGTTGCAACTACGTTTAATAATCTTGAAATGAGCCTTATTATAAGCTTTCATTTTTCAAAAAACCATAGATCATTGCTGTTCTTTATTTTAAATAAATAAATATGCAGAATGCGAATGTACCTATGATTTTTAAATATGATACTCCATTCAAGTCATATTCCCATCAAAAATGTATATTTACCTTGGCCTTTGGCTCCTGTAATACGAAATAATCTCTCGAAGCCATGGCACCGCAGCTTTTACCTCACATCACAAAAACGCCAAATCTTTTAAGTGAATTTAAAAAACAGTCTGGTTTCAGACAAGGCTCTTACACACGAAGCGTTAATGCAACTACATCTAATGGAGACCAACGATTCAGGACCATTTTTGCTGCAAATACTTTGGGGAAGGATGATCTCTGTTGTTATATACCGTAGGAAACAGGTATATGACTTTACATTGTTACATTGAGGCAAATTGAATTTGTAAGTAATTACGTCATGAAGCCGCGTACAATTTTTCTGAGAATATCACAGTGCACAATTTTAATTTCCAGCTGTTTAGGTTTCGTTTTATTTTCTCTTGTAAGCACAGTGTCAATATTATGACGAAATCTTTTAATTCAAAGGCTATATTAAATTAAAAAAATGTTTTAAAGCCTGATAAAAGTACAACAGTACCCATGTGTACACTACTTTAGACTACACCCTCTAGCGTAATTATAGTCAATCAAAGATATATAATTAAATTAAATTTAGTAGCAATAGAGCTCGTGAAAGAGGTTCATCCAGAGATGTACTGCCTATATTTGCCGCCAAGCAAATTACAGGCAAATGGGATTTGTAAACTTATGTCTCAGGATGACGGGCGCAGTGGCACTGCTTCTCAGATCTTTGCGACTTAAATCTCCGAATGGCACTGCAACTGTCATGGATAGGCGTGTTGCTTACTACCAAGCGTACGATTTGTTGCTCCCGTCACTTGACTTCATAAAAAAGAAGATATTTTTTCTTGTATACGTCCATTACTTCATATGTATTTGGTTTCAGGGTGTATCACTTGACCAACTGCGACCAGTTACCGAAATGATGACCAAACTACGTGGGCCACAGTTAAAACCTAAGCTTTGTGACAAAACTTTGAAGGACCTTTTAGGACTCAGATCTTGAGAAATAGCATTAGGTCATAGTTGAGAAACGTAATAATTTTTTTATACTAATGATTGGGTCATTTTATTCATTTATTTAGATGTGCAGTTCAAATTCTTTCAATGTTATTTAAAAAAAATCTAATATTAGGTCTTATAAGGCATTAAATATGGCTGTCGGATTTTTGCTTTAAAAAAGTTTAGCCTAGCAAAGCAAATATATATTGTACTGTCCTACATATGTACTGCGTGTTTCGTATGATTTCGTTTGCAAAGCAATAAATCATTATGGAATTTCATTATTTATTACAATTTTACTAATCGACATGAAAGAAACCGAATTAAATATGATTACGATGTAAATAGTTGATTTTTATTTTATATAAATTTATATTTTATAGCGAAATATACAAAATTTTAGGTCCATACGTTAGTTTCATTGCTTATCAATTTTAAAAGCAATGTGTCTTAATTTAAAATGCTATTTGCAATAGCTCACCGGCTCGTAGTGTCCAGAGTATAACAAATAGGTGTTTCTCACGCCACCATACCACCGGTACGATATTGTGGGCTAGAACCAATAAAGCAAAAATAATCTACTGAAATACTACTAGACTAGCCGATAAATAGCTAGACACGCTACTGGTACAAATTCTTTTTAAATTTAAGATCGCGATTAAATGTTTTATTAATGAAAATATATTTTTTTTAATAAAAAATATCCCAACATCGAATTTGACTTTGATGTTATGTTCCTGCAATGACGTAATGGCAAAATACCACAAAAATTATTGAATATTCAATTTTATTTGTATTAATGTCCCATTTTTAAAAACGGACAGCTTATTAAAAAAAAAGAAAATTAGAGGAAAAATGTGATTCCCGTCAAATTTGTCCAATTGATCATGGGCCTGTACTTTTATCGAAATATGTTCAGTTTAGTTTAGAACTTTGATTACTTGCTTTAATTGGATCTCAAAACGTTATGATGATACTTACATCATGGATAAGGTCAAAAAACGCTCTATGTTGTGTCACGTACATCATGCGCTGTGACCTTGTGACGACTCCCCTCATCGTAATCCCATCATTTTATCATCCTCCTTTCTGGTTCGTGGCCACTTATTTATAAAATTTTGAGTCGTTCTCCATATTCCCTTTTCCTTCGCTATTCATACGTTTCTTCTATCCGTTGTCACTCCTATCAAAATGCTTGGAACGAGAAGACGAGCTCATAAATAACTAATCACTTTCATTTCATTAAAATTATCTACTTATATAGTCCCTTTTGGGGCGAGTATTGTGTATTGTGCTATTTAGTCTTGCAAAGAGCGTTCAATAATAATTGGACCTTTTAAAATATCATTTTATTTGCTACAGCCTACCTTTTTTCTTTACAATAATTCTTGTGAAGGAGCCTTCTGCAGTTAGGCCACAAACTAGTGTAGTCTAAACTAGGATTTCCAGGCTTGCTGTATTTCTGCTTCCCATGAAAAGGTTGAGAATCGATGCGCTCTAGAAAATCCTGGAAACAACTGCCTTTCGAGACTATTTTAGAAGTAGTTTTCCGTATTTATAAGCTAGACATTTAGGCAATCAAAACATGTTATTTTAATAAAGTTCTTTATTGACTTAAATTATAAAATATTATATTTACTACTAATCTTTCTTTTTTTTTCATTTTTATAGTAGTCAGGAAAGAAACAAACTTTAAAGAGCGTTTAATATGTTTCAGATAGAGAGGACCTGATTTATTACTGTCGTTCTTCAATCACCACATATTACACTAAGCTACAGTCTACATAAAGAAATAAAGAAAGAAAGTAACATTTATTCCGCTTATTAAGGGCGCATTCAAATTAGCCACTGTTAGAAGCGCTGCATCCGCGCGGCGGCTGCGCGACAGTCGTGCTGCTGAAGTGCGACCAAACTTTCCCCATGCCTTTTTATCCAGTCGATTGGAATAACTGGCGGAACTGCTATCCCATATTGCAGGGTATTGTTTTACATTCTCTATAAATTCTTCCATTTGATGTTCATCCATCGTGGTTTATTGGAAAAATAAAATGTACACCTCACTAACCGTGACTGTAACCGAGCGTGACTGTCGCGAGGCCGCTGCGCGGTTGTGGTGCTTCTAGAAATTGTATGAAAAGTGATAATCGCGCGGCCGCCGCGCGACTGCAGCGCTGCTGCAGAGCGTCTAACAGCGGCTACTTTTAACGCGTCCGAAGACTTATACGGAAGAAATTATTAAATATGATTATGAGGTGAAACGGATCCAATTCGGTATATACTCGTATCACAGCTCGACTGCTGTAACGCTGGTTTTCAGTTGAAGCCGCTTTTATAGGATAAGATGGCACGAAAGGACAGATGTAAGTTAACACTAAAATTATAACATATAACTTAAAATTGTACTAAAAACAAGTAGGAAAATTACTAACAATTATTACATGAATTGAACATATGAAATGCTGCACTAGTTAGATATTTACACAGGTGAAACTAGAAAAGGCTGCCATTATTGTCGCAAACAATTTCTTCTATTTACTTTTACTTTTCTTAAAATAATAATAAAAAACAAAATGAACAACTTATTAAATTTTCTAAAAAGATAGAAAAATAAAAATAAAAGTGAACAAAATTGTTACATAGCCGTTTAATTGGAGCTCTAGATAGTACTGATTTATTTTAAGTTTAAAAGATTGAATGGATGACAGGTACAGCATTGCCATGTCCTCGTAACCAGAATATAAATAATTTTTCACCTCACAGGCTCGAAAACACTTTCTTTCTCATTAGAAATATGCGCGCAAAGGCGTTTTTACCAAGCCAGCGAGGAAAAGGGTTTCAAATATTCGGATTTGACGATGGACTGTGGTGCACCTAACTTTCTCTTTTGATGAAAAAGAAAACACATTACATTATTTATGTAATATAAATCCGTTGGTATATTTTATTCTTATTATTGTTAACCTTAAATTGTCAAGGATAACTAATTTAGTTTATTGGAACTGATTTGTTATAGTTCAAATATTTTTCTTTCATCAACCATTTTTCTCGCTATAGTGAGGTGAAAAGTTGTGTTTCGCTCGGCAGCACAGTTGTTTTGCGTCTCGTGCCTTGAAACCCTGTCTAGGCTCGGGATTCTATTTTAATCTTGGACACAGTCACTCGCGTCATACAATAACTTTGCAGCCTTGCATAACAAATAACTATACCATACTGTTAAATTATATGACTTAAGTGTCAAGAGTCTCGATATTCCAGAGACTGAAAACACGAGCCTAGAGTGACGAAAATGCTAAAAAAAATCGCAAAAACTCTCAAAATTTTTGAGACCGAGATTTGCGAGAGGGAAATAAATGTAGCTTTCTCCATAGAGATGTTATTGCACAGAAGTGGTATACTTACATTTTTCTAAAGTCGGATTGCTACGATACATCCTGCAAAACCCAATAAACGCTAGCAAGAATATTTTGACCCGTGGTGGTAGACATGCTGACTCATTATCGACATTCGCACAAAAGGCTAGACTGGAAATTAATGATCTTTATGAGTCAACGATGCCCTATTGTTATTATTGTTGCCTTTGAAGTTTATCTACAATTTATTTGTTAAATGTGTTATTTTATATCATATTATTATAAAAACATACATCATATTGGTGCTGAATGGTGTAAATGTTTTCATCTTTTTATCCGACTTCAAAAAATAGAAAGTTCTCAATTCAACTGTATTTTAAAAACTTAAAATTCAGCTTTATAGTTATAAGTACTTGAGCTAGATAAAAGGGATAAAAATTCATCACACATGAATAGTAAATAGATAAAATGGAAATGTACTCATAAATCAAAACAGTACCAAAAAGTATTATCCAGACTGATAACTGTCTATTACGTTTTCACACCTAAACTGCAGAACCAATTTTAATGAATTTTGGCATAGAGGTAGATGGGACTCAGGAGAGGACATTTGCTACTTTTGTCACAAAAAATAAGTCTTAAAGGTTGAAATAGGGGATGAAAGTTTGTATGGAGAACCAATAATTTTTCAAGTAGTACAATAGACTACTCGAAGTACTTACCTATTCACCAGCTAGTATAATAAATATGTAAATGTATTATAAATTTGGGGCAGTAGAGCACCTAGTGAGAGTTCGTCTAGTGAAGTACGGCCACCTTACTTTACCTATTTCTACCACCATGCAGTAATGTGAGCATTACTGCTTTCCTGTTTGGAAGGGTGCTGGTGGAATTACAGGTAGTCGGGACTTGTCAACCTATACCTCAGGGTGACGGGCGCAGTAATAGTCTCCCTCAAATCTTTGCGATTTAAAGCTCTGAGTGGCACCGCAACTGTTATGGCCAGGCGTGTAGCTTACCATTACCAACCCGTTAGTTGATGTTATAAAAACATAAAATAAAAATAAATAGTACAACACCCATTCGCCTAACTCTCCCCATTACGATTCTTTACGTGTGTGGTGGAAGTGCGGTAGTAAGTTGTCGGTTATATCGAATTAGTTGCCGTACGAATTATCATTACTTCGAATTAAATACAAATGAAAATATTTATGTTGAAAAATCAAAATAGTTTGAAAAAGTATTATACACGTATCAAGTACCGTTTTCTTCCACACGCACAAATGGTACCAGAAATATTTTCTCATAAATTTTACATTTTATTGTTTCATAAAAAAAATATCGGTACTTTCTTTTTGTCCACTTAATGCGCTAATTGGTTGTTTGCTTCGCGGATGGCTAATAAAACATAACTGAGTAAGCAAAAAATATACAAAACATTAAGTGAAAATGACATTTGTGATGTACTTTAGCAATCGTAGTTGTCGAGTCGAAGAATTTTTTTTATATATTAATAAATTAAAGTAAACTAGTGGAGTTATTACACAAAAAATATACAAATAATACAATTGATGAAACAGTTATTGAGTCTCAAACACGCCTATTTTTTTAGGTAGGTAGGCCTCCGCTATCCTGTAATACCGGTAACCGAAAAATTGAGATTAGCGAAAAATTATTATACGACTATCATATACAGCCGTCATCCAGTATACAACCAGAAATTCAGGCGAAATAAGGGCTATCCATCCCTGGCAACTTATCAGGCAAATGGCTCTTATATCACGTCTAAATATCCACCTCTCGTTTGCGCTGAAATTAGAAAACTGAAATAGTACAGTGCCAACAACTGACCTGGGTCAGT